GGTTGCTTCATTTCTAGCCCACCTAGAATACTAGTTACTACATATATAATATACCCAGGTACTTGTGTTGTGTCCTCAGAGTAGCACTGGCTTTCTCCTTTATGTTGTAGTCCTCTGAAGTAACCCATCACTTGGCTTTGATTTGATGGACTGTGATGGGCTCATCCTAATGTGTTAAAATTCCTCTCCTTTACACTTTGCCTTGCTCTTTCTCTACTACTTCTCCCTCCCTGTTGCTGGTATGTGCATACAAAAGGCTTCAGGTTTCTACCCCAAGCTAGAGCCTACTTTTGAGAGCTAACAAAGTTACAAGGAACAGGGAGCAAGGCCAGTGGGAGCAAGCTGAATGTGCATTAGTCCTCTTGACCTTATTCTGCACCAAAGCATCAGTGATTGTCCCCAGCATCTCCCATATATTTTCTTCAGAACCTGTTTTCTTCACCTTACTAAGGCCTTGATTGCCTTTGCTAAAGTTAAAATGCTGTGTTTGGGGTTTTTTTGGGCTGCACTGATCCAAATCATGTCAAACCCTAGGGTTTTCAAACACAGTTTTGTTACTGAGGTTTTTATCCTTCCTGCTCCTTTTCACAGTATAAATCTTGTTTCCAGATCCCTGTTTTATCATTAGGCTCTGGCCGCAGGAGCAGACATATAGGGCCAATGGAATGGCTTTACAGTAAGCTATGATGTATCTTTACATCTAAAGGCTCTAATAGAGCCTTCACCTAGATGTGAGTTTCAGGCTTATAGAAACCAAGATCAAAGTAGAACGTTCCTTGTAGGGAAAAGCTTAAAAACCATGGCTAAAGCTCTTCCCCGAAGACAGACGGTGATCAAAAAGGGTTCCACGTTTCTTCTGCACACATTCAAATAGGAGGGTTTATGAAAACTTGACAGAATTGTTGCAGGAAACAACAACCTTTTGGAGGTATTTCATAAATATTTGCAATGCTAATCTATGGGCTGTCACAGATGTAAATACAGTCTTCAGAAAGTAACCTTCCCTCTGGTATTTTATATTAAACAAAGGGAAATAAAGAGTAAACAGGCCAGTGCCTTTGTTTTCTCTCCTAAATAAAAGCACACATTTCTCTTGTTCCATGGTGACAGGGTGGTTAAGGTGAGGGAAAACAAACATATTCCTAAACTGGGCCTATCTCACCAAGTATCAATGCTGTGGATCATTTTTGGGTCCATTTCTAGTGCTATAGAGTGTAAATTGCTTCAATCTTGGGATAATACAAGAGGGATGTGAAGCTGATGGAGAAGGCCACGGAGATGCTGCGAGGGCTGGAGCAGCTCTGCTCTGGAGCCAGGCTGAGAGAGCTGGGCTGGGGCAGCCTGGAGAAGAGAAGGCTCCTGAAGGGGAGACCTGAGAGCAGCTCCAGTGCCTGAAGGGGCTGCAGGAAACATGGAGAGGGGCTTGGGACAAGGGATGGAGGGACAGGCCAAGGGGAATGGCTTGAACCTGCCCGAGGGGAGACTGAGCTGAGCTCTTAGGCAGAAGCTCTTCCCTGTGAGGGTGCTGAGGCGCTGGCACAGGGTGCCCAGAGAAGCTGTGGCTGCCCCATCCCTGGCAGTGCTCAAGGCCAGGTTGGACACAGGGGCTTGGAGCAAGCTGCTCCAGTGGAAGGGGTCCCTGCCTGTGGCAGGGGTTGGAGCTGGAGGAGCTTTAAGGTCCCTTCCAACAAAAGAACAGGCTGGGATTAAAAGCTTGGCTTTTTGCATACCATAAAAGAGTTATTATGGAAGCATTGTATGTGTATCAATGGTTTAATACAGAGCCTAGCACAGGAAAGGTGGCATTGTTCATTAGGTGTGCAAGGTTTGGTTTTTCCTGCATCAGTTACGTTTTCCTTATCAAGAAGACTTTGGTCAGGGAGTAATGCCAAACAAGCCAGTTATTTCAGAAAAATCTGTTTTATAGCATAGCTTTCAGTTAAAATAAATCTTATTCAGGGAAATCATCAAGTTTGTGTGTAGTACTCGAAGCCCCATGGTTTGTAGGGTGTGCTGGCATGGTTCTGCATCACAGAGGCAATGCTCACTGCTCTGTTGCAGGCAGCTTAAAGCAATGTCCTCATTTGGTTCAGGCTTGCCCACGTGAGGAGCGAGGTGCAGGCTGTCTTTCTCACTCCTGAAGAGAAGTGGGTAGCAGCAATGAAGTTTCACATGCATGCTATAAATGGCAAGCTACAGCTCCAAATGCTCGTAATTGCAGCACATCTCTGGCACATATTGAGGGATATGAGATCCATGGTGAGAAATGAAAGGAAATCAAAAAGGCAGAGTGCAGCAAGAGGAGGATGCAGAACCTTTTAACTCAGGTCTGTTGATGCTTATAAGAGTTAAAATCATTTAAAAAATGCTACCCTTACCAAAGGTGTTTGAGGTGCAGGTAAAGAAGGGAGCAAGTGTGACTGTGTACCACTATGTGCAAATACTGACGTCCTGCTTTCCTAGCTCATTAAAAACGTGCTGCGTAGCGTTCAGAGGGTGCTCTGTTACTTGAGCAAAGTGAGGAAATCAATGGAGAAAGTCTTATTGCAAAGTATTAGTATCTTGGTGAAGAACTGAGCCCCACAGACATGCAAATCCCAGGTAGGGAGCAGTTCTGCAGCACTTCCATCCCTGCATCCTGCATTAAGTGAGTCAAATGTATGCATCTTATAAAGAGCGTCCTTGGAGCTGGATTGTCTTAACTGGTTTTTTGTATGCTGTGCCTTAGCCTTATCCATGTGAGAGTATATGGAGCAATGGACAAAGTTTGCTCTCTGCAGAGTTTGCAGTTGCTTCCTTTCTGCAATGGAGCTTGGGACCTGGGAGCAGGCATGGATGGATTTTGGTCTTACGTGGAGTTGCAAAAGCTGGGCAAGGAATATATTTCCTTTCGTTGTGTCCAGGACAAGCTCACCTTAAAAATGAGAAGGCAAAAAAGGAAGAAGTCTCTTCCCTTGGAGGTGTCACATTAGTCTTCTAAAAATAGCATGGATTATTTAAGTAATTCAGTATTTCAAATACATGTTCTTTTTCTCACTCAAGGTCATCCAGCTATAAGAGGAACTTCTGCTGCATGCACAAGGGGCTTTTCAGATCTTTCATAATATGGAGCAAAATGGACTGGTCTATGGCTGGGCTTTCCTTCTGTTGACATATCTGGTCTGCCTTAAGGGCTTCAGCAGAGAGTAGAAAGCTAGGTTCTCCTGTTTCACCCCTGTGCTCCTATTCCTGTGTTATGTTCCTTACTGGAAAGTTTTTGCCTACAGCAGATAAAGGAGGTTGTCCCCACCTTGTTCTTTGCATTGTGTTGTGAAGATGTGTATTAATTTTAATTGCTGAATACTAAATTAAGGCTTGTCCCACTTTGAACATGAGATGCTCATTCTGGTTTGTGTTTTCTAGGAAGTCTTTCCACATAGAGCCTCTATTTAGTGGTCAAATAGGAAGGAGCTTGTGGAGCGTTTTGGCGCTGCGAGTCTGTAATTCACCAAGCGTACTTCTAGGGTTGCATTTCAAGGTGCACAAGTAGCAGGACGTTCCTGCTGTCTTCATTAACTATTATGGAGGTACATTTGCTCATAAGAGTCTATGCAGAGTTTCAAGGAAGAGATGAATTGCATTAGTCCTGAATGCCGGTTTGGAACCGTCTGCGCTGGTGATGAGACAAGTCTAATGAGGGACTAACATAGTTTGGAGAAAAGGGCTTGTTTCTCATAACCAGCCAAGAGATTTGTGTTCTGTGGTGTTAATGTTGTGTCAGGAATTGTCTAAAAATAAACCTTTGTCACATAGGGTTCCTAACAAGATGCATTTCCGTATCTTAGGTGTGTTTTATTTACTGGCTTCAGATAAGTGACCTTTATGCACCATTCTCATTATAAAGACATCAAAAGTAAGCCTCACTGCAAAAGCACTGCATTTTATAATGCTCAGTGGGATTTTTGCAAAGGATTATTTAATGTAACTCTTAATAACACAAACTTTATGCTCTTCAAATTGGAACTTAGATAAATAATGATGTATATTTTTAATACTAGTCACAGTTATGTATCTATACCTGTTTATACATCATTAAAGTTATAAAAAGTATTTGGGTAAAATATTTTTTCCTCATATATAGTATGCTGAAATACATTCTCTTTCTATTTCTGAGACTTTAGTGCAACAGAAAATACCAGGAAAGTATGTTTTTTACATAAACCTCCCTGTGAGCAGTGTTGTCTGCGGCACTTGGAGTGTTCCTGGGCCTCTATCACACAGCAGTTTATCACCCCTATGAATTAGTAAATCACTGCAGGGTAGGAATGGAGTAGGGTGTGTGTGTAGGAGCAGCCACCCTAGTGCCAGCTCCAGCCTCCATTACCCGATGGCAATAGTGCTCAGTGTAGGTTTCCAGTGTGCTGTGGAGGAAGGCAAAGCCCCAGCATAATTAGATCAGATCATAATGCAAATACATGCCAAAAGCCCCAATTAAGAATGCCTGTGTGAAATACAGTGTTTATTACAATTTAGGGTTGCTTTGACACCAGTTTGATTTTTATTTGCTTTATGTCTTTTTGCTGGTTGTGAGCTTATTCATTTTCATTTCACTTTCTATTTCTTTTCGTTGTCAGAAAAGGGTAAACTGGCTGTTAGAGTTCATTTTTCATAATGGTTTTCAATTAGGGTTTTTAGGTCCTTGCTAAAAGTGTAGCATAGAATCTGCAAGGGTAATTATACCTATTTTAATGCTATTAATAAGCACTCGAAAGGGATCATTACAGTAAATCTGCTTTAGCCTTTTGTCAGACATAGTTTTATGTAATATTGTGTAAGGTTTCTGTAATACTGGTACCTTTTAACTAGTTTGGTTTGCTTTTAAAGGAGGGGAAACACAAAGGAACTGAACACATTTAGGGTAGTTTTCTCACTGAAAGAGTACTGCAGGAAGGCATAGAAAGGAGAATAAGCCCCATATGTGCAGCTCTTTCTCTCCTGACCCTGTCTTCCTTGTCTTGCAGGAAATCCTGGCTGACTAAAGTTGGAAGCCCAAGTTCTCGCATCGATCGAACCAATTTTTCCAACGAAAAGGAGATTTCCAAGCTTGACTTCTCAGGATTTAGCACTAGATACTAATAGGAGCCGTCACTGAGCATTAAGCTGTGATGTTTCTGCTGCATGATATTCTCTGTGCCTCCATAACATGTCACAGGAGCGTTTGGATGCTCTCCATACTAGAGACAAATAGTAATGGTCCCTGTTCACATGGAGTAAGAATTCTTAGTTCCTGTATTAGACATTTAACGCCATGAATGTCAATATCTAGTATCTAAAATGCCAATATCTAATTTATTACATCTTGAAAGCTAGATGAATGCTTAAAAGTGTCAGTGATCACTTGTGCACAATGAGACTTATGTATAACCATATGGCGCCTAATCTTTACACTGTGATTCATATTTTAGATGCAAAATAAGGAAGTTATGTTCTCCTGTTTGTAATCTCACTAACCATCCTTAACTGCAGAGCCTGGAACACTGAGAGATCTAATGTAGCTCTGTGTTGTAGACCATGTTATTTGTGATAAGGAGTGAAGATATAGAGATAATATAAAATAAATATATGTTTATTCAAACTCAGACTAAGATTATTTGACCAGTTCTGGTTTAAAATTCTCTAGTAATTCAGTATAAGTAATTCAGATAAGTCATGAAACACAATGGTGGTCTCACCCCTTGTTCCATATCTACCTACAGCTTGCGTCCATACTGACCAGAAAGGATGCTTTAATCTTTTTGCTTTGTTGATGTTCTTACTAAAATGGAAGACTTCAGTTATTTAGCTTATGGATGTGTGTTTGCTCCTTAGTTAATGTATGTTGGAACCTGATTTGACATGATGCACCCACATACATCATGTCAAGTACATAAAAGGTCCTGAGCAACTTGAGTGCTTGCAATAAATACTGGATAAGCGTTTGCAGTATTGGATGTGATTCTCATACATAGTGCTCTTTTCACTGGCACCAGGGGGCCTGTCAGGGTGGAACAGAGCTATTCCCTCGCTTCTAAAGTACTTCTGTGTCAGGATTAGTACGTTCTGGAGGCCTTTGGTTAGATCTCTGGTACCCAAGCAGGCAGCTGCATGATCTGTCTGTACTCTCAGTTGATCACGATTGGTGTGATCATGCTGTGATGGAGGCTCACGCTGTCAGTCCCTCTGAGAGGTGTGTGGTACGTAAAGAACAGTGTGCTACACGTTTGGACAAGTGTATAGCACATAGAGCATAGTACTACTGCAGTGGTCACAGCCTCAAGTTGTCTCCCAGCTCCCAACAGAGCCCGCTGTTGTCTGCCTGCATTGTATCCTCTAAGGCATCCTACCTGAGGATGCATAAGCTGGTCTTTCCCCTGACTGCTATGTACCTCTTCTAAGGGCAGGAAGTGTCAATTTAAGCAATTTGAAGTGTTAATTTAAGCAACATCATCAATTTGTGGTTCACCTTTTTAATTTCAGGAAAGGCCATTTCATAGCTTGAGCATTGCACTTTGAGCTGGGCATTGAAAGGTATTTCTGCTGATGACTGGATTTATTTTTGCTGGGCCTTTGTGCACTAAGCAGTAAGATTTCCTTCCCACACTTCGCAGGAGTTATGAATTGTTGTAGTTCAAATGCACTTGACTTCTGTGACTGTACACAGCATCCTTTGTTGAAGTCACTGTCAATAACTCTTGTTAAATGGGAAATAGCAAAGTTCAAGTGCAGTGGCAGCTCAGTAGCTGTTCCATCCTCTCTGAAAACTGTATCCTGCCCAGCAGAAGTACTTTACATTTCCCTTGAAGCTACCTGGCAGGAGATGCCCCCTCTGAGGCATTTCCAGCCAGGCTGCTTTGTTCATATTTTGAGCAACAACGGTAGAGGAAGGAGGAAAACAAATGGAACACTTGAGACACAGGAACTGGAGACAAAGATGAAGCTGTTGCTTTGATGGCTGGCATGGTGGAGCTGGATGCTGACAAGGACTCCGCTAGAAACGCAAGGCCTGAGGAGGGGGAAGCAGCGATTTCGAGTGCTCACTTTTGGAGGGAGAAAATGTGCAGGTAGAGACCTCTGAGAGAGCTGAAAGATGAAGAAACCTCTTGCTGAGTCTGTCACAAAAGGGTTTATTATTCCTGTGTCTATGCCATAACGCTCAGCTCCTGCTTTTGTGCCTGTTTTGAGCCCATCTGATGGAAAGGTTGGTTCTGGAATACATCTATTAACCTTTCTCTTTGTTTGTTAGTCAGCAATACTCATGTTTTCCTTTCTCAACATCCACTTCCCTCACATCAGTGATGTGACGAGGCAAAAATTGCATGCAATTTCTGCAGTGAGTTCAGCTCTGAGTGTTTCTGACGTTCAGAACTATAATACATGTACTTTGTGTTGAGCCGTAATGTATTTCAGGGTTATCTAGCAGTGCTAGATGAATTGCACATACTATGCTTTTCATGCTTAGAGAAGTTAAGAATTTGCTGAGCAAATAAGCATTGCAGATATGTCAGTGTTCCCAGAAACCCTGGGGAGAGTTTTCAGAGGAAGAGGAAAAGGGAATAAACATCATATTCCATATCTTCAAGTTTCTGGGAAGTCCTGTAGCCAGTTGTATTCCTGGAGTATACCCAGGTGTAGAGCTTTCTGCAGTCAATGGAGTTCCAAGGGCAAAAGGATTTCTTCCATTGCACTTCCCCGGTCTAGCTGAAGTGGAGGCCCAAGGTGGCCATAAGGGTAATAATGATATGTAACATATAAAAATAGTCTATGTCCCTGTGAATTAGGGGTTACCAAGGTGAGGAATTACTACTTGAGTGCTGCTGGCTTCCTGCTGCATGGCCATGGGGAAATGCCTTTACCGATGGTTTAGGTTGTTTTCACATTGCATTGAAATCAGACTTTAATGCATCGTATCTGTGCTTAACTGTTGCTGCAGAGCATGTTTTATTCATGCAAATGCCTGCAGTACAGTCAGGATCCTTTACTGCTTATGCACAGGGAAAGGTTTGATTTGCACTAAGTGGCACCTGCCTGGCTTGTGGGTACATACAGCCTCGGAGGGCCCTTTCCCAGGTGAACATCAGGAATAAGGAAGCGGTCCTACATCTCCTCAGGGGTGTGCTGCCACAAAATGAAGACGTTCTGACTGCAGGAAAGAGAGCAGATCGAGGTTTGTAAGCGGCTTCCCTGAGACGGTGTTGTTAACAGCGCGTTGAAAAGAACGAGGCTGGAAGACAGAGCGTCATTGTTGCTCTCCTGAAAAGGCCGTTCGGAGCGAGCGGATCCCACTTTGCTTTCTGTAACTTGGGTGACTTTTTCCAAGGCAGAGATTCGAGGACTGCTCAAAGTAGCTTCTGTTCGGTGTCTGAAAGATGCTTCAGATGGAGGCAGGATGCAGCCCTGTGGCCCAGGCAGGTCAAGGCTTAAGGGGGAGCCTGTGGCATGGCAGGAGATAGTGGTAACTTCCATCTGCCAGCTTCCTGGTGAGGCTGGCCCGTGTGCCAGTGACTTCTGAAGCTGGATGAAGGCCTGGCAGAGGGGTGGGATGGATTTGGGCAAGACACCTTCACATTAGGGCGAGATTTGAGCCCTCTGTAGAATTTGGTTGCTTGGAAGTATTGTTCCATGTTGCTGCTACTGCAACTAACACAGTGTTGCCTTGAGCTGCATGCATTCATCTTCTCTTTTTATTTAATCCTCAGATTCTGTTAATGTGTTAGGAGTCCAAAATTGTCCGATTTGTGGAGATGCAGAGTGTGCATCAGAGCAGTGTCTAGATTTAAGGGAAACATCAGTGATTTTGTGGAGCCAAAGAATTCCAATGGTGAGGTAGAATAAAAGAGGCAAGAATGACTGGCTGATTAGACATCAAACTAAGTTGACACCTTCTTCCTTTTCTACTGCATACTGCTATCACTCAGGTGTAACTGTAGGTATCCTTTAACTTCACTTTGACTTGAATGCAATGCAGCAAGAACAATTGATCCAGACCAGCTCTGTTCTTGCTGCATTTCCACTGTTTCCAAGTCATTTGTGAATTCTGGGCAGTGCTGACCTTCCTGAAGGAGAGCGTCATGCCTGGCTTGTATGCTACCATTGCTGAAGGAAGTCTGCATGGTTAAACCGAGGGCCTACAGGGATGCTGGAGAGGAACTCTGCATCGGGGGCCGTAGTGATAGGACAAGGGGTGATGGGTTCAGACTGAAACAGGGGAAGTTCAGGTTGGAGATAAGGAAGAAGTTCTTTCCTGTGAGAGTGGTGAGGCACTGGAATGGGGTGCCCAGGGAAGTTGTGAATGCTCCATCCCTGGCAGTGTTCAAGGCCAGGTTGGACAGAGCCTTGGGTGCCATAGTTTAGTGTGAGATGTCCCTGCCCATGGCAGGGAATTGGAACTGGATGAGCTTTAAGGTCCTTTCCAACCCGAACCATTCCATGATTCTATGTTAATTAAACTTGAACTCCTAAATGCCCATACATCTCAAAAGGGTATGGGTTGTTTTCTGTTTTGTTAGAGAATCGAAGAAACAAATGTTCCCTAAGCAGTGAACAGAATGAGAGCATCCTGCCTCCTCAGGAAGGATGTAATCTTGTATTAATGCCATTTACTCCCAACACTCACAATGTTGTAGTGCAGAATAGGGATGTTCTGCTAGAGCTGCTCGTTCTTGAGCCTTCACACGGACGAAAGCAGGGTGGTTGCTCCTGCCATGCTTTCTCTTCTGTGACACCAATCTGTCACTTTTTGTTTCCTTGACATCCTGAGGAGCTCCCTTTCCTGGCTTGCTTTCTTCTTGGAAAACTGTGTGCGTGTTTGCTGCTGGAATCCTCTTACCAGGCAGAATGAACTGGATTAGGCAAGAGAGCTTACTCATTAATGCATAGCTCCACACTACTGCCTGCTGAAAGGAAGGGAGCGCTGTAACTGAAGATAATGAGGGCACACATTGGTATGTGCTGAGTTCCTTTTAAATACAAGGGCAAGAGTGTAAATTGGGGTTTCTGTAGTACTGTTCTTTCTTCAGTGCGGTGGGTACCAGTGCTGGTGTTAAAAAGTTGGAAGCTATTTCTGCATCAAACCTAAACCACATTGCACAGATGTAAAATAACTCTGCTTGCCTCAAGTCATTTGATGGTAGTACTGACTTAACTGAATAAGGAATACTGAAGTGGAGGATCAGAGGAGGGGCAGCCTCGCTTTTGGTTAAAAGGGCTGCAGAAATGGATTGAAACGCTTTACTAGTCACGTTCAAGAGTAGTTTAAGTAACTGGGAGGCTGCTAGTTGTATTGCACAGTTAGGTGGTCTTACTATGGTAGTTAATGTGCATGGGTACACTATAAATGCATTAACAACTTCTCTGACGAGTCACTTCATAAATCAGCTGTGAAATGCCATTGTCTCTATATCAGAAGATAGCACTTGCACTCTAAACAGCATTAATGGAGGAGGAGGAGGAGGAGTTTGGCCCAATATCACCAGAGAAGAGACCTTGTTGGAAAAGACCCCTTGGGCTCTTTTATAGCCATGCAAGTGGCTTCTTGGTGTGGCTAACATTGTGATTCCTCTGTTCAGGAAATGGGAAAGGCTGGTGACATCTCCTC